AACTTTAAACCCATGCTGCAATCGATAGGTCGGGGCATTTAGATTTTGTAATTTTTGACACGTACCCAAAACTGTCAAAAGATTTAATTAAGTAGTTTATACTCATCATGAATAGATGGTGAAATTGTTCTCAATTTTTTTAAGAACGAGAAGAAAACTCTTTATGTTTTTATGAAACCGAAACATCACATTTTTCATTACCTCTGGAAACCAATGCATGATTTCATCGCTACATGTAAGCTTAAGGCATTTCAAAATTGTTAAATTTACAAATTTTATGCAGTAGTTAAACTTCTAATGTATTTGCGGGGTCCTTATTTCATGTGTTCTATAACAACCTTGGACTACTTAAATAGTTTTTTACAAAAGTACAAAAAATAGTGACAGAGATATTCAATTTTTGTAGGTTTTTACTCATCTTGGTTATTAATTTATCTTTCAATTTCACTCAAACATGCATTTATCAGTCTTTTTATTTACACATCAAAGAACATTTTACTCTGATTTTAAATCTGTATATTTTTACTTTTTAATTTTTTTTTTCAATAATGACTTATGTAGCTAATATGCCTTCTCTTTAATCAAACCGAAATTAATCATCTCATTTCGGAAAACAAACTCCGTTATTTGACATACTAGTAATTTCATTATAGAACTTACCTTTATATCTGAATTCCAGGATGATTTGCCGCGTACTGGTTCCCTATTTGTGTCAGAATTTTAACTTCCGTTTTATGGGTGTATTGTCTTTTTAGAATAAATATAATCTATGTGGATTTTTAAGGTCAGCTTTGAGCAAAATAATGCAAGCAATGTATATAAATACAGAGTATTTGGGTGTTTTATACCTCCTGGTATACTCGTGTTCATAAATAAATTAACGCATGAGGTGCATTTTTCATTGGAGGATAAGACTGTTGATGTGTTTTACCTCAATAGATTAATGCATTCATGCACGAAGAGAATTTAGAGACCCCGTCCCTGGAATTTGCAGTTATTGAATGTATACCTAATAATTATATACTTATAACCAAGTAAAGGTGACCTTGGTCTCCCCCTTCCTGAAAAAAAGGCCGAACCATTCTCGAAAGCGCGGACTTGTGTTAAAGATTGATAAGAAATTAAGTCATGATATGAAGCTGTAAAAGTCAACGACTACCCCCTGCAACCCACCAAACACCACCCCCACCACGTAAAATAGGTTTTTTTTTCAAGTTTGCGATATATTTTTTTTTATATATATATATATATATATATATATATATATATATATATATATATATATATATATATATATATATATATATTTTTTTTTTTTTTTTTTTTTTTTTTTTTTTTTTTTTTTTTTTTTTTTTTTTTTTTTTTTTTTATATATTTATTTTTTTTTTTTTGGCGGGGAGTTGTCAAAAATTTCTGAGTTGGATTTTTTTTTGGTGGACCCCACCCACCCCCCAACCCCGATTATTATTTTTTTTTTAGCATTTACATATATCGCTCTGAATTCGCAAATATGTCCTGACCACTAGTACATATACTTCCGAAGACACAATGTGCACCACAGTGAAGTATTACATGTATATTTTAGTACATGTATCATAAAAAATATGCAGATTACGAACATATTATTCAAGCTCAAAGTCTATCAAAAGATAAAATTTTGAGCAGAGCAAACACGGACCTCTGTCATCAGAGGTTGGATCAGGTGCCATGGAGGAGTGAACATCCCCTGCCGATCGGTCACGCCCGCCGTGTGCTCTTTGTCATGATCGGGAAATAACCGGGAAATCCGTCGAAATTTCAAGGTGTAAAAAATGGTCTTACAATAAGTATGAAAAACATCATGCAGTCATGATAAATTGTATTTACTGACAAGGTCATTGTATCGACAATAGTACAGTGTATATATATCGGCAGTCACTGTAAACGAGACTGCTATAAGGTCCTAAATATTATAGGGAATCCCGATCTTTCAACTTGCATGCGTCGTAATTCCCTATTATGGATTTTTTAGTAGATTACGCCAAGTGATGGACCAGACATGAAAAAGAATACCTTGACACGTTGTCAGATCGAATGGATTAAAAGTATCAGATTTATATGACAAAATCGTGCATTATGCGATTGAGGGGCAATAAATCTATATTGGCATCTATCCTTCTGTACTGAATAATCCAGAAGTGGAAAAAGATTTAGAAAGATTACATAATTAGTACGTACTGGTCCCTGCTGACAAAGCAGCTGACAACATTATCTTTGTTTGTAACATGTGTAAGACTCATTACAATGAAGCGCATTGAAGTGGTAAAATTTTCCGTTTGGATGAAAAGTTTTGAGTCATGTTTTGAACGTCAATTATAACATAATGACACGCCCATATTTTTAGAAACGAAAAAGAAATATTCGTCGTAATGTTTTAGGACACTCCATTCTTCGCGATAAGCAATATGAGTTACACTGAAATAGAGCTTCTGATATATAGACTCCCCGCTTCTGTAAAACACAAATTGCAACGAATATGTACATATTTTTGAATTTATTGTCTTTTGAAGTTACCACAACACGACCGTTTCGGTCGAACACGTGTTTACGCGGTGTTAATTTAGACCGTCAATTTGATTGGCTGTTATGTTTATGGAAACCTGTTCTACAGGTATTCGAATAAACACATTGACCGTTTTATCCATTTCTAAAGAAATGGGCGTGTCATAAGATGATAATAAACGTTCTAAAGATAGCTCAAAACGTTCCATTCGAACGGAAAATTTTACCACTTCAATGCGCTTCATTGTATATAAAATGCAGTTTAGAGAACCTTTAGAGAACTTACCATATCTATATTGGATTCCGAAACTTCATAAATACATATATCCTTACAGATACATGTATACAGCGGGTCTCAGTTAATGTTCTTCCAGGCCTCTTAATTCTTTTAAATTACTCACTAAGATAGTAGAAGTAGTGAAGGAGAAACTTCAAGAGGATGTTGCTACAAGATATTCGAAAAGTGGTGTAAATTACAATGAAGCGCATTGAAGTGGTAAAATTTCCCGTTTGAATGGAACGTTGGGCTATCTTAATTTAGAACGTTGATTGTCATACAATGCCACGCCTATTTCTTTAGAAAGTAAAAATCGGTCAAAAGATTCATTGGAATACCTGTAGAACAGGTATTCCATAAATATAATAGCCAATCAAATTGACAGTAAACATAAACACAGAGAAAGCACGTGTTCGACCAGTATGTGTTATGGAAACTCCAATAAACATGATAAATTCGTAATTATGTACAATTCGTTGCAATACACGTGTTTTATAGAAGCCAGAACTCTCTAAATCTCTCTTATTACTTTAAAAATCTCCATTTCGGTGTAACTCATGTTGTTTGTCACGAAGAGTGGGGTGTCCTTAAACATTATGACGAATATATCTTGTTCCTTTCTAAAGAAATGGGCGTGCCATTCTGTTATAATTGGCGTTCAAAACATGACTAAGAACGTTTCATCCAAATGGAAAATTTTACCACTTCAATGCGTTTCATTGTAAGCAAGTTAACAAGATCCATTTTTTTGAAAAAGCAGCTTTCAATTATATCAAAATACACCATCTTCACTCTGTGCAGGGCATGTGTAGGTAATTGCACCAAAAATTCAATATGACTGAAAAATGTCACCGACGTTAAAACCTGCAGAATTTTCCCCCTGTATTTGAATTTACTGTCAAGTACTCGTACAATTATTTGATAGGTTGATAGGAAAGAATTGTGTTTAGTACGGAAGAGAATTGGTGCCACGTAATATTTTTTTAAGTTGGTAATTTCAACTTTAAAGTTGGTAATTCAAACTTAAAAATTGAAATTCCAACTTAAATCTTGGTCTTTCCAACTTTACTCTTGGTTTTTACAACGATGTACGTTTTAATTATTTAATCAAATACTTTGTAACTGAACTTGTGTTACCGTATTACACATGTAATTAAAATGGAAATGTACAATTTTATTATGAAATGAAATGATGGAAGAATGAATCGTTTTATTGTTTGTGGCCGGGGGTGGGGGTGGGGGCATGGAGGGCAATTTGCCCCCCCCCCCCCATAATTTGCCGATTAAAGTATTTGTAGTTGGTAGTTGATAGTGCCCCAAACTGAAAATATTGTGTTTTATATAAACAGAATTAATACATTTAGTATATTTACTGTTGTATTTGTAGAATGTAATGTAGCGTTTGATGAATCTTATATAAAATACCTAATAACGTTCTCATTTTTATAGCGTATTCTTTCATAGAAAAAAATAATAAATGTCCCCTCTCTAAAATATGATAGGTTGAAATCCTGTCATGCATGGAGTTGCATGATTGGTCTCTTTATCAATTTTATATTAGAGGACCAAAAGAAATATGACAGGATTTCTAATTAAAAGTTAGAAGTTTAATACATGTAACGTCATAGGGAAGTCAATTTAAAAAAAAAATACTGACTCTGATGAAAATTGCGCACCAATTTATTTTTAATCATTTTCAATGTACTTGACAAATGTATTTATTTTGTATTATCAGTTTTTACACCATAACTCAGTCCCTATGGTCCAATATGTCCCTCTTGAACCCCCCCCCCTTCACATACACAAGCTCTGTACAGGGTGTAGGTGGCGTACACCTGAAGTGTATATTACACTTTTGAACTTGAATACACCGGGTGCACGTCTTAGACAAATCACAGGCCTTTAGATCGCTTAGAAAAAAACTTGAGGTGTTGAAAAAAAAATTTTTTTTTTTACACACACAATTTTTTTTTAAGCGATCCAAAGGCCTGTGAGACAAATCACAGGAGTTCGCGTACCTATCAATTATACCGAAATTTTCATTAAATAAAAAAGAATACGTAATACGTGTTATTATTATAGGTATTACGTATCTTTTTTATTTACGGAAAATTTCGGTAAAATTGATAGGTACGCGAACTCCTAATCAAGTGCGCTTTATTGATATACATCGGGCTCGATATACATGAATTATATTTCTTCAATAACATGCTGTCACAGGGTTAAACACTGATTATCAATGTTTTTCAAGAAACCCAAGGTACTGAACACCGTTAAGTTATATATATTTTATAATAAGTGCATATAGTTTAAGTTTTAATCAATTTGAAAATAAATTACTAAATGGCTAAAAAAAAAATCTGATGACAACAGAGTAAACTCGAAATATGCTGAGTTTTTACAGCGGTTTATAAATTTATTGACGTAGAATGTTGAAAATCTTACAAGTTGATTTGTTATTTGATTGGTTTTCACATGTATCAATTGTATTCTTTTATTTGCATGGCATGTTGCGCTATATAACGTGTAAGGAGAGGAACTAGTAAGTTGTAAGAACTTGACTTATTCTTTGGTGTCAGACGTCAATAAAACATGTTCAAGGCAAATGCGCATACTGTAGCTTAAATATTATTGTTAAAAACATTTCATCAAAAAGAATATAGGAAATTTTCAGTTTCTAGCATCTAAAGGTCTCTAAAAACACACATAGACTCCTGAGATATTGAAAGGTGAACCCAAACACACTGTTTATGTTGTTTTAGTTAAATATTTATATTTATTCTGACATTGATGAAGTATGAAAGGAGGAACACATAATGAATTTTAAATATATGATCGGACCAGGATTTGAACCTGGAACTGGCCTGTATTACTAGACTGGCACTTCCCAGACCTACAATCTGTCAAGTCAACTCCGGTACATGTATAGCTTTAGGCTTATCTCCTCAAGTTCTCATCCTTCGATTTGAATCTGAATCTGAAATAACACTTTCCACTACAGTACCTAACAGCTCTGAAATTTCTCTAGGATGCATTTGGATTTATAAATATTCAAATCTATCTAGCTATTTAGTATGTAATGAAAACATCAATAAATATCTGAGTCTGATTTTTAGCTCACCTGAGCCATAGGCTCAAGTGAGCTTTTCTGATCACAATTTGTCCGTTGTCTGTCGTCGTCGTCGTCGTTGTTGTCGTCGTCGTTGTAAACTTTTCACATTTTCGACTTCTTCTCAAGAACCCCTGGGCCAATTTCAACCAAACTTGCCACAAAGTATCCTAGGGTGAAGGGGATTCAAGGTTGTTCAAATGAAGGGCCTCGTCCTCATTCAAGGGGAGATAATCGGGAATTAATGAAAATTTGGTGTTATGTTTTAAAAATCTTCTTCTCAAGAACCACTGTGCCAGGAAAGATGAAACTTTTGGGGAAACATCCTCAGGTAGTGTAGATTCAAATTTGTTCAAATCATGACCCCCAGGGGTAGGGCGGGGCCACAATGGCCGACCAAAGTTTTACATGGAAATATATAGGAAAATTCTTTAAAAATCTTCTTCTCAAGAACCACTGTGCCAGGAAAGATGAAACTTATGGGGAAACATCCTCAGGTTGTGTAGATTCAAGTTTGTACAAATCATGTCCCCCGGGGGTAGGGCGGGGCCACAATGGCCGACCAAAGTTTTACATAGAAATGCATAGGAAAATTCTTTAAAAATCTTCTCAAGAATAACAAAGCCATAATTGATCATATTTATATGGAAGCATCCTCAGGTAGTGTAGATTCAAGTTTGTTCAAATCTTTACCCCCGGGGGTAGGGTGGGGCTACAATGACCAATCAAAGTTTTACATAGAAATATATAGGAAAATTCTTTAAAAATCTTCTTCACAGGAATAGAAAAGGCATGAATGATCATATTTATATGGAAGCATCTTTAGATTCATGTTTGTTCAAATCATGACCCACTAGGGTAGGGCAGGGCAAAAATGGCCGACCAAAGTTTTACATGGAAATATATAGGAAAATTCTTTAAAAATCTTCTTCTCAAGAATAACAAAGCCATAATAGATCATATGTATATGGAAGCATCTTTAGGTATTGTAGATTCAAGTTTGTTCAAATCATGACCCCCGGGGGTAGGGCGGGGCCACAATGGCTGACCAAAGTTTTACATAGAAATGCATAGGAAAATTCTTTAAAAATCTTCTTCTCAAGAATAACAAAGCCATAATTGATCATATTTATATGGAAGCTTCTTTAGATAGTGTAGATTCAAGTTTTACAAATCATGACCCCCAGTGATAGGGAGGGGCTACAATGGCCAATCAAAGTTTTATATAGACATATATAGGAAAATTCTTTAAAAATCATCTTATCAAGAATAGCAAAGCCATGATTGGTCAGTGGACTACTTTTGGATTTAAACTATTTAATTATAAACCAATTTCTACTTTTTTCTAGCCACAGTGCTCAGGTGAGCGATGTGGCCCATGGGCCTCTTGTTATGACAGATTGTTCAATATGGTAAAACAAAAATAAAATTACCTACTTACATATACTTACCCACCTTGAAAAATTGGGGTCAATCAGAGTTTATCAATCAAAAATATTTTTAATGATACCCATACAAAATGAATAAGCCCCTTCCCGATAACTGCGGTACTACACTATTGCCGGGCAAAATAATAACGTTTGGCGCAGTTTTTGTTAAAAGATAATTACATGACGTATATTAAACAATTACTTTTACGTCATATTTCACCAAACTATATCATTTTGCCCTGCAAAAGAGCAGTACCGCAGTTACCATGAAACGGTCTATTGCAGGATTGGGCAGCAGACTCCACCTCTATCCCCAACATCAACCTGATCAAGGTAAAACACACAAAGTACGTTTGTTGCTTAGAGTTTGTTTTATTTTGGTAGGCAGCTGACCAGAAAGGAAATGTTGCAGCTCCAAGAATTCCTGAATCAGAAGCATTGCCAAAGAACTGTGAAGTATTGACCACAGAATGGGGAAGCAGAGTCTATTTACTGGGGACTAATGAATTCTGTACAAAATGTCTACGTAATGTATCAAAGGTACACATATGTTCAGCACTACTCTGTTCAAAATTTCTATGTAATGTATCAAAGGTACAGCTTGTATCATGAGATAACTATGAACAAGATAAATATCAACATTGATCATTATCTGTATGCTGTAGAAACAAAATTTTTGGGCTTTTGGTGTTTAATATCATACTTGTCAACATACAATAGGTTAAATATGTTAAATGCATATAAAAAGCCATGTATTAGTCTTGTATGAATAGGTCAGTTGTAGATCATTTAAAAAGCGTCTCTTCAAATATTAGCAAAGACAGGCTAAGATAGATCAGCAATGTTTCAGTTGTTGAAAAAAAGCACCAGAATAGTTACAATAGTTGTATGCTAAATTGCCATAGATTTTTCCCATTTGTCTAATTTGCTTGGTATCTATTAACAGGTTATCCAACAAATTCG